TAAAAACATAAGCTGTTGCAAATGGTGAGTATTTATACAAAATTTGAACTTTCAGGTGCCATCACTTACCGTGGAAGACACAACATTACATATGTTTGATAAAGTTAAAGTGAACATCATGTTAGATGATTCCAACATCCAACATCAGAAAATGAGGATGGTCTTGGTAGAACCCAAGGTAAGATACAAAATTCTTACCATATTATCCTTCAGTAATGTTAAAAAATCATCTTGGTAAAATTGAAATTTAACCCAGAAGAAAAAACATAATTTAGCAGCAGCTTGTAATGATTGCTTCATATCCACTCTCAATAAAACACAAGTCTGCCTTCACTGGCTGTTGAAAAGAATAATGCCCTCTAAATTAAGCCTTCTGTTCTGGGCCCATCAGGATATTTCCACTGTTGGGAATTATGATGATTTGCTGCAGTAATGTATTACATTTTACAGTTCTGTAATCAAATGTCCCTCTGAAAATCTGCCAAAATTCAATAGGATGTTCTTTTTACTCCAGTGAACTACAATGTAACTGAAGTAAATGTGATGGGTGGCTCAGCTCTGTATAATTGCCAGGTGTCAATGGCAATGGTGTCTTAAAACTCCAACAACATAAAAGTTCTCTCTTGATAATGTTTTAAGAACTCTAATGTCCTAATAACTGTATCTAGTCTCAAAACATTTCAGTTCTAGCTTCTTTGTGCATTTGGGACCCAGGGAGTTTCACTTGCTCTCACACTTTAGGCCTAATATGTGTTTTTCATGACATGACAAAATCATGCTCTTAGAGTAAGGAACATGCAACCATCTGTTTACCGAGAAAGTTACATCAATTGAGTATCCCTTATCACAGAGGAAAAAGAGAACCCAAAATAAGCAAGAGCTTCTTTCTATTTATACAGTCAAACATGATTGCCTTTTTCCTTGAGAAATCACGTAAATATATCATGTTCCAAACACATGTAAATATATTCTGATCTTCAAGCTGTTGTGTGAGCCTGAACCATAGAATGGTTTGGGTTGCAAGGACCTTTAAGAGTCATCTAGTTCCAATTCCCCTTTCAGAGGCAGGGACTCCTTTCATGACAACAGTTGCTCAAAACCCCATCCAACCTGGCCTTGAACACTTCCAGGGATGGAGCTTCCACATCTTCTCTGTGAAACTGTTCCAGTGCCTCATCATTCAGAATAAACCCATTTCTTCCTAAAACTAACCCACTCTTTCAAGCAGGGGCAGGGGGAAGCCATTCCCCCCTTTCCTGTCACTGGATGATGCCCTTGTGAAAAGTGCCTTTTCAGCATTCTTGTAGGCTCCCCTTGCAGGTCCTGGAGGGCTGCTCAAAGGTCTCCCTAGAATCTCTTCTCCAGGCTGAACAACCCCAGCTCTATCAGCCTTTCCTCACAGGAGAGCTGCTTCATTCAGCCCTCTGATCATTTTTGTGGCCCTCCTGTGGACTTGCTCCAACAGGTCCATGTCCTTCCTGTGCTGGGCCCCCAGGGCTGCATGCAGCCCTGCAGGTGGGGTCAGAATCCCCTCCCTGTCCCTGCTGCCCACGCTGCTTTGGATGCAGCCCAGGACACGTTTGGCTCTCTGGGCTGTGAGTGAACATTGCTGGGTCATGTTCGGCCTTTCATCCACCAGCACCCCCAAGTCCTTGCCAGCAGGGCTGCTCTGATCTGTCCATCCTTCAGCCTGGGTTGAGGTGAATCCCTTTGATTTCAAAAGTGGAGATCAGACGGTAAAAACTGTGGCAGAGAGGCCCATGTGTTCTGTTGTGCATTCATATGCTGAGCTGCCCTGTACTTGTGCTCACCAACTCTAGCTGTCAAGGGCTTCTTCTGAGGCCATGACTCCAGTGTGAGGGACACTGAAAACAGACACACAGTAAGGCTAATGCAAGCTGCTGGTTGGGGTGCTAACAACCTGTTGGCTTTGGCAGGAGGGGGCTGTTGGTTCTCTTTGCCTTTTTCAGCTTTTATTTCAGGTGAGTGTTCTACCTGTGATTGTTCTAAGAAGGTAGACCCTCTTTTAGACAATTATCTAAATCAGAAATTTCTGATATTGAAACAGTGTTTGTAAAAGTCAAGTTTTACTACAATAGCAAAAATCGAATAAAAATGTTCCGACTTCTCTTTTTTTCTTACTGTAGATATTAGGAAATGATACAAGTGCAAGTCTCTCTGCAGAGGCAAGCAGCAAGGAGGAACCAGAGAAAAAGAAAAAGAAGCTACGAAAATAGCTGGATGTAAAAGTTCAGAAGCACAAGTATTTGCATTTACATATTTTTCCCTATGGGCAAATAAATGCTAGAAGCAGGTTTTGTTTACTTTTTAAATACACATTTTAATAATCTGTAAAGAATTTTTAAAGCTACTTTTTTATGACTATGAATGCAGAACAAATTTTAAAATCATGTATATCTACACCTCTGTCCTGTAGGTGAAAATAAATATTTCTGCAAAGTGAAGAAATGATTGCATACTTTCTTTTTAATAGCCTTAAGGAAGGTTTGACGGTTTGATAGAAGTCAGCACTCCTGTGAATTCTCTTTAGCACCTCAGGACTGAAAGAAGTAATTGAACAACATAGGTATTAAAAAAATGTCTTTATTTTGTTTCACTACTCAATTTACAATTAGACATGTTAAAGGACTCTCATTAAAACTACTTATATTAATTTAATGTAAACAATGACCGTTTTGTGCAATGTGTGCCAACCAATGCATTAAGAACAATTACAGAAACAGAATGGTCAAGTGATTTCCATGGTAATTTGCACAGCAGGTTTCTTCTACAAATCAGTTGTACAAACATAATAAAAAAATAGGCATGTTTCCATAAAATAAATATTTCCTATCTAAATGAAGACTACAAAACAGGACAAAAAAATACAGGCAATCCAGGTGGGAGCATCCTTAATCACTTCTCACATTCACCCATTTCTACTCTCTTTTCTTAGCTTTAAGAAAATACTAATACAGGTTAAAATTAAATACTTAAGGGATTGCTTTTTTATTTGTGAATACTTCAGAAGCCTCCAATCATTTAACATATTGTGAAAATAATTTAAAAACTTTTTAACAAAGTAAAACCTAATCTTAAGTTATACATGTAACTCAGAAAAATTCAGAAACACATCATAATTTGGGCTACCCTGCTTAATGTTCATTAAATTTACATTACTGTTTTAGTAATCACAATTGAAAAAATAAATCCTCTCTGTAGTCCTTTCAATTGATCGTTGTTAAAATTATCACGAAAAACAGAAATGACACAAGGTCATACGAAACTTAAATCTCAGACAAAATTTTATCTGCTTTTGAGTGACAAAGCTCAGAAGCTAAAGCTAAGAACATTTTGAAGGCCCTATTCTATAAAATTTGTTTTCCAGAAGTCTGAGTTCATCTCCTACTTTTAACAAAATTCATTCCTTAACAGCTACCAATTCAGTGTATTTCCAGCTTCTAGTGGAGCACTGTGTGAGGACAATGGAACAGCTAATACAGGACGCCAGATTCCATTACTGTCAATCCCATATGCATTACAGAAAGAGTGATTAAATACTTGTGTACTTTTACAGAAGTAAAAATAATACACATCGTGTTTGCTCATTAGATTTCTAAAGTAAACTTTTTTGTATTTATTTTTGCAATGTGAGACCTACAATCAAGTGATGTGGACAGACGTTTCCCTTTTTCTTAAATGCAATTTTCAGAAAGCCTTCACTAGGAAATTATTAATGGAAGTATTTCAAGAACTGTTCTAGTCAAACAAGACATAACTCTCAGGTCTAACACACTGATTTTAATGCCAAGACATTCTGTTCACACCTCCCCTTTTGAGATTTTTTTTTTAAATGCTGTCTTTCCTTCCAATTTAGATCTGACCATATTTGACCAATAGGTTTCAGGCCCAGTGTGCCAATAGCTGCTCATCAGCCACTGTCTGTCGCTTTGGTACAAGCTTTTCTGTGGGTTGTGGAATAGGACAGAAAGCACAACTTCCATCCAGTATCCTGGGACATCCTTGCCATGAAAAGAGATGATGACTGCTTCACCTGGAACACTTGTTAAAATGGACTTCATTTACATTAATCTAATGAAGTTTACCAGAGCTCTACATAAACAGAGCCCAGAAATATCAGTGTATCCCTTATCTCTTCTTTCCCTCTTGGTCACTAGGGCCACAAGATTACCATATGGATATTTTCCCCCTATTCACATTTATAAATTCCAGAATGTTCTTTTAAATAAATACAAGCAAATTCAACTAAGTCTGATTTGATAATACAAAGGGAGTTCTGAGCTTCTGACCCCCGCTTCAATCCATCATTTTAATTAACTGATGGTTTTCTTGAAAGGATCAAAGGTTTGCTTGTATTAATACGTTTGGTAATAAATGGCATGCAAAAGTTAATTATTTTTTAAGGATTTATCTAATAATTTTGGTAATTTCTGTAAGCAACATAATAATACTAGGAATTAAGAAAGGCTGCACCATTTTCTTAGTGATAATTCTGAGGCCAATGAATGTTATTGCACCTTCTTAGGTTCCTTCCAAAGAGTACCAGAGCATCAATTTGGACACAGTTGTTCTTCAGAGACACTAGTAGTGTCAGTTGATCAAGTTTAATACTAAAACAATTACCAAAGCCACAACACTAGCTTTTAATTTTAAGGTAACCAATAATACATTTTACTTAAACCCAACTAACATCACAAATTTCTGTCAAACCAAGGAAAAAGCTGTTTAGAGAATTACTAAACAGCTTATTTTGACATAAAGCTCATTTTATATTTTTAAGAGAACCAAACTTGACATTTGCTCTCATTACACCCCAGCAGTTCACATCTGTCCAGTGACTTACTCTTGGTACTAGTGGTAGTATTTTTGAAGCCACACAATATATGTGGTTGGAGAAAAGCAATCCAAAACCAGAACAATACCCCTTCCACTTTTCTTTCCCACAAAGAATGTCCCTCCATGCCTTTAGGAGGGACAAATCTTAAAATGTAAGTGATTCTCAAGTTATACTGGTTCCTATGCAAGTTATCTTAGGCTGCTCATAGAATCCACCCTAGTCACAGAAGGAATAAAATTCTGAAAAAAAACCTGTTGTTTCTCGGCACCAAATCTAGACACTTTAATTTTCAAAAAGGATCACTTAATAACACTAATAAATTCTCAAAAAGACCTGAAAAATCCCACATTATTTAAAAACTTCCTTAATATATATCGAACAGTTTATTACATTTGCATTAGAAAAGCAAAATAGTATATATAATCCAGGTAATTGAGGTCATACGTATAAAATTTATTAGAAACCACAGATTAAGTTCTCCATCAGAAAACTACATACCACTTTTGTGAAATCCCTGAACTTGATTTTCATTGTTATGATTCCAAGCAGAAATGTTGCAAGTTGCATTTTGACCAAATACTGTGCTATGTGTTTTGGCTTTTTGAAAACAGGATTGCTTCTCTGGAGATTTTGTTCTCAGCAACTGATTGTCCTTATGGCTTAAAACAGAACACTCCTAGGTGAATAAGAAAAAGTTAGTTTTAAAACAATTTTAACAGAAATTCTCCAAAAGAAACAAGATCCAAGATAACAAACTGCAAATTTCAAGTATAGTAAGTACTTAAGTACCAACTCTACCCTTCTGAAATGAGAAAAAAATGAAGTAAGATATTTTCTCTACACAGACATTTGAAACATGCTGTCTGCAAGAACTACCTCATTTCAAGGGCTCACATGAATGTCTGAATGAGCCTGACTTGAATCTTTCAGCCAGCAATGTCTGTGCTTTTTTCTTTTCATTCCCTGGGGTTCTCAGTTGTAAGATCTGAATGAAGCCCTTAATGCCTTCACACTTTACTCCTAATCTAAACAGCAAAATTTGGCTTAGTCAGGACCCAGAAGTTGAAGGACTAAGAGTGGGAAAAGGCAGCTGTGTGACATTGGCAAGTCCCTCTAGGATGGGTTTGATACCAGACAAGTGATTGTGGCAGGTACATGCACACATAAAATCCATGTCCAACAGAGTGACTGGGGCAGGAACTTAAATGAGTATTTTTAGAAGATAATGACAAAATATCTATTGTTCTTGTAAGGGTGCATTTGTCCTGGTCTTAAATGAACAGTTTGAAATTTGATATCAGTGGTCTGTAAGATACCATCAGTCAGCACTTCCCCTTGGCAGAGAAGTGGCTTTTAGCATGTCACATCCAGAAGTGAAGTCAGGGCTGAATGGGTTCACTTGAGGTTTTTCTATAATCTGGTACTAATGGTCAGTACTGGCTCCCCTTGAAGGGCTTTCAAGACATAGCAGACCATAAACTACTAAGTTTGTAGCATCATGTGACCCTAATTTCTGAGAAGAGACGATCTTTGCTCTCTTCTCCAAAGAAATTAGCCTTGCTTCCAAGTCTCTGGAAGAAGTAGAACTCCTTCCTATCAGTCACAGGATTAAGAGGTTGGGAGCTTTGCTAGACATGTATTATCATTTGTAATGTGTTTTTCAGATAGGTCCTCAAAGGGCTTGTAAAAAGACTGTACCCATGCAGAAAGTTTCCCACTAAGTCAGCATGCCAGGTATGGTCTAGGACTCAACACTAAGTTTACAAAAATTAGCAGCAGACAATTTTTCTCCAGAAATGTCCTTCTCCACAGGCACAAGCTTAAAACTTTGCAATAAATGAAGCAGCAAGAACAAAAGAAAAAAAATTATAGACTGACTACAACAGTCACGAACAGCATCACTACTACTATTCATGCATATACCTCAGTTTCCTCCAAAGCCTTTGCTTTTATCATGAAACTTTTTTTTTTGCCAGTTTAAGACATTTGTCCTGCATTTATTCAATATTGTCTCTGAACCAACACTACATTAACATCTTTATTATCATCTGACAGTTTCTCCCCTCAGGCTCCCTGAAACCAAATAAAATGGGATGCTTTAGAGGGGAAGCCTATCACTTTTTAACCACAAATCCTACCTTTGTTCTAAGCAGCTGAGATTTATTCTGAAACACAATAGTGTTCACATCATTTTCTTTGCAACTGTTTTCAGCCCCTGCAGTATCCATAATGCTGTTTCCACAAGTCTGTGTATTGTAACCACTGTCCACCTGAAATCAGAAAGCTGGGCTTGAAAAATGTAGTCATTTAACACAAATAAATCCCTCATACACCTGGTATGATTTGCATTTGTTTAACTGAACTTAATCCAACAAACCAACTATGACCAGTTAATAACAAAAGCAAATTGTTAACAGCATGAGTTTGGATCAAGTTAAATATATTAATGTACATAGCATAGTAATTATTTTTGTGTTGCTAACTCCACCCAAAGAGGGGATGAAGGGAAGGGGCAAAAGTCACAATACTGCCTGGATGCCATATCCAATAAGAGAAAATAACAATTACTTCCAGATTAGTATACGTATTCCAAGTTATGTTGAGCTCAGTTTTACAGAGGAACCAAGAACTGTATTTTTACCTGAATACTACTGTTGTCACAAGGAATTGCGCTGCTTTCTGCAAGAGGTGACATGCACATGCGAGAGCTTTCAATACTGAAAGTAATGCCTGTCATAAAGCTGGTCATTGGTGTATTGCTACTGCCTGTTGTTTCTTTCATCCAAGTGTTTTCCTCCAACACTTCAGCTGCATCAGCCATGTCCACAGTATTATTTTCCTTTAAGCCTTCTATGTCCTGGAATGATGACAACCTTTGATGACAACCTTCTGAGTGATCTGGTGCAATGGACACAGTTGCCACCACGAGATGTGTACCGTGTCCAAAAGTATCACTGTCTTCCTGATGTACCTTTGTTCCATTATCCATTTCTGGGAAGCGAGCTTCTGCTGGAGAAGCGTTTTCCTTGTCCTCCTCATCCTCATGATTCTCAACTGCAATTGGTATTCTAATGACAGAAGTCTGATATTGGGCAGTTCCTCTACAGGCTCCAAGTCTCATAGGAGAGCAATTTTTAATTGGAGAACAACCATCTATGTAAGGACTTCTTGTACTTGGGGGTGTCATCCTACTTGAGGAAGAAGGAATATCTGGAGAACGAAATGTAAATTTTCTTTGGTCTGAAAAAAATGAGCAAAGTTTAACTTCACCTGATATCTGATAGAAAAAACTCATCATTCTCAAGGCCCTGCAGTCCACTGAATAATTTATAGCCAACTACAGAGTATTTCACTGACTGTTGCCTCCCAACCCAACCAAACAAGCAAACCCAAAACCAAACCCTTCACCTATACATACATTTTACCATGGTACATGGTAAAGACAAGTTTTTATCCCACCAAATTTCTTTTCTATGACATCATTTGCTGTATTGGAGAGTTTGTATTTTTAAATATCATTACTATACAGTATTCAAAGGGAAATGGGTGAAGGCTGGTTTAGTATAGTCCATTATAGTCCCCCATTCATTTTTTCCTAAACAAATGTCAATACACAATCTATAGGCATTTAAAGCTTTTGGCAGCAATGAAGTTTAAGATCAAACAAGTGAGAAAACACCTGTGCAACATCCATATATAATGGTGTAAAATACCATTAATCAAAAGGTGTAAAAGTTATGTATAAATATGTGTAATCATGCCAAACCTGTACAAATCATGTATAAACAAGGCATTAAGCCTTACCAGGTACAGACACAGCAAGAAACAGTGACATTTCCTAGATAGCAATGAGGACAAAGTGTTTGTGATTTCTTCATTAGTCATTTCATTTCAAATAATCTTCATGAAGGCATGATTTGAAAGCTCAAGCTAAACATTCTTTGCCCATTGATATTAAAATGCTTCAGTCCGGGCCAAATCAGAATTGTAACCTGACTAAATTCAAGCATGTGGTTTTAAAACCCCTCCTACAATAGATTAAATTAACCCTTTTATCTTTTCTTGATTCTTATTGGGTCTCAGTGCCTTCTTCTGAAATATTTGCCCTAGTTGATGAGTTGCAAGCATATAGATTTCATTGTTTCACATATTCCACTGCTGAACAGCAGATGTGTTATACAGGAGACTGCTGGTCACCCAAGCACAGAAACGCCTCTCCAAAGGAAAAACATTCCAGTAAGAATTTAGAAGTATTATAGTAAAAATCTATTACTCAAGATAGAGTAATACATATACAATTAAACCATACCTGAGAGTGGTGTTTTTCGTATGTGAAAAGCAATTGGTGAAAAAGCAGGAGAAGCATTACGTGCAGGAGACCCCTCTGAAAATGGGGGACTGGTTATACTTCCTAGACTGTAAGCTCTTGCTCCTCCCTGAATAGGACTTGATGAAAACTGACCCTTCACAAAGGACAAAGGGGAAAAAATAAATTAAAAAAATCATCAAATCCACAGAGTATTATTTTCATAATGAAAACTATGGCTAACATGTATATATAAAATTGTTCTAACTCAAATGTGCTTAATATGGCAGCACTGGAAAGGACTAATCCTTTACAATGACAATCTCTAGTTTAGCTTAAATATTCCAATCGCAGCTCTTCACCTGGACCTTATGCCTCCACACAGGGGAAAAGAGCAATGGACACAAACTGTCACCTAATACCAGCTAGGAGTATTTTATCCTCTATACTTAAGAACTATGAGAAATGTAAATAGAGAATTAATGCTATCTATGTATCTAGTCAAGTGTTTAATCTAAATTTCTTACTCGTATTACTGCAGATAAAAGTCAGTCATTATTTATATTTTAATGTAATCCAATCTACTTAATTCAGCAGTAGATACAAAAGTGTTTCTCTTTAAGCAAAGAGAATGACCTTACTTAAGACTATCATGCAACTAAACAAAAAAACAAAAACCAAAAAAACCCTCCAACCAAACAACAACAACAAAAAAACCCCAGACCAAAACCCACTCCCTCATCCACCCATCACTTCTGGCCCTAGAATTATATTGTAGGAATTCTTTACTAGGTAACCTTTTTATTTTTTTAAGCTACACTATCCTAGTGTAGGTAGGCTTTTTCCACACACTTCAAACCACCCCACAGATGAAAATCACCTAAACCATTTCAGCTATGTCCACATGGGGATAAGGTTCATCTTGTTTAATTAAAAAAATGGACATTTTGTTCTGTATTCTAATAAATGTCTAATTATCTGAAAACTCTAGCCAATGGGAAAGAAAAAGGCATATTTAGCACTGCACTTCAAAGATCCACAAGTCATTTCTTTCACTATAAATGAGCTTATGAGATTTAAAGGAAATTTAATTATATCACATGTTCATATCAACTGTTATTGTAGGCAGCAATTCATGGATTTAAACACGACTTTTTGCAGACACATTTTACGGGCAAAAAAAAGGTTTTAACATGCTTTCAGCAAGTCTTTTGTATGTTTTAATTCCTACTCCCTTTTCATAACAAAATTAAAACATAATTCCCAATACAAAAGAAGAGCAGCATAACGAAATAATTTGAAATAATAAAAAGTCAGTAATATATTCTTTCAGGACTTTTGTTCACATTTTTTTTTCAGAATTTGGAAAAAAAAAACAAACAAGTTTTAGTCTAACTCCTACTCTCTCATAAAGTACATCTACTCCTACTCTCTCATAAAGTACATCTGACCCAGCCTACAAGACAGGCTACTTACTGAACTAGATGTGTCCAGGGGGCTTCTGCACCGAGCTGGAGATAATTCTATGGAACAAAGCACTCCAAGTGGCTGACTACCACATGGACTATGCAAAGAAGGGGACAAACATGCAGATACATTCCCATTCTCTTCTAAAAACAGCTTTCTTCTGAGTGATGAAGAGCTCAGATTTTCCTGAGACTGATCTGCAAATTCATCAGTTCTAAAATATTCACCTGGAAATGTGGGGGAAAAATTGTTTCCAATACGAATGTAGAAAAAAAATACATTCCATTACAGGAATTAAAACATTTAATCTAATTAAATTAAAACATTTAATCTAATTTACCAATACAGCAACTAATTAATCTGTTTAGGCACCTATCCCAAAGGACTGCTTGTCATCACTACAAAAAGTCACCTCTATCTACTAAGGGTAGTTCCACTTGTCCCTATCATCCCTCAATACTTAAGTCTGAACCTAAAAAAATAAAAACATTGGCTTCTATATACTTATTGATCTTTCTCCAGACTGTATTATTCCTCACATCTGAGCTGTCAAACAGGGATTATTTTACTACCCAAGCAAACCTAGACTCTTTTTCAGGTATCCCATATGCTTTGATGGTCTTCATGATACACCCAGAGGCAAACCAGATTAGACTTAAAAAAAGTACAAGTAGTTAGCTGTTTACAGTAGGAAGGCATAAACTAAGACCCATTAAATTATGCTCAGGTCTACCAGATTACTTTAGGTTTTTTTTCTCTTGTTCTATTCTAGTTGGATATTCCCTGTAGGAGAAATTTTTCATCAACTCCCAAACTATGTATTGATGGAAGCATTTGTTAGGACAAAAAAACAAAGGCAATAAATATGTTTTGCTGGCCCACCCAGTCATGGTTCTGAATTTCAGCACTGGGATAGGAACATGCAGCCAAAATGCTCTGAGCTGGCTGTACCCACTGTTTCTACCCATGAGCTGCAAGATCAGCCCCTTCCAGCCCCCTTGCCTGAGAAGGTGGCAGCAATTGCTTGATGCAGCACCAATAATCAGACAGTTAATTTGGACTCCTGCCTCCTCACTCTGCAGTCATGGCTTTTTTGCCACCACACAACTTCTAGTACCCACCACAGTTTCAGGTACAGTAAAGCCAGAGTTACAGCTCAGCTTTACTCAAGGCAAGGTTGAGCTTTGAGACTCCTGGCTGGCATCTGTACAAACAGCTCTGGTAAGACAAATTACTGCTCTGTTTGTGTGTTTGGGAGAGGCACAGGCTCTCCAGAATCGTAGAGCATCCTGAGTTGGAAGGGACACACAGGGATCATTGAAGTCCAACTCCTGACCCTGCACAGGACCTCCCAAGGGTCCCGCCATGTCCCTGAGAGCATTGGCAAATGCTTCTTTAACTCTGTCAGGCTGGGGCTGTGACCACTCCCCTGGGGAGCTGTTCCTGTGCCCAACCACCCCTGATATTCAACCTAAACTGCCCCTGACACAACTTCAGACCATTCCCACAGCTCCTGTCAGTGGTGACCAGAGAAAAGTGACCAATGCCTGGCCCTCCTCTTCCCCTCATGAGGAAACTGTAGACGGCACTGAGGTCTCCCCTCAACCACCTGCAGGCAGAACAATTTCCAGTCATGAAGTAACTGCCTACTTAGAATACATAAAACTTTCATTCATACATGTAGTTTTCAGTATTTCACAAGACAAACCCAGCCAGCATTACAAAACCAAGTTTTCTATTTAGACATTCATAATTAAATTTAGGTATTACATGACATACATGACATACCTAGTATTTTCTCTAAATTAAAATCCACTGGCAAGGACAGTACTGTCTGACAGGCAGCTGCAATAAATAAAACCAACAAAATTAGCTTACAGTGACCTTTTGCTAAAGCTGTAGAAACAAAAATTCACTTTCAAATTGCACTGCAATTGAGGTATTTAAATTACAGTTGCAATAAGGAAAAGTGTTAATTAAAGTACAATTCTGATTTGACAACACTGCAAGCAGTACATTAGGCTTAGAGATAAAAACCCAAGAGTTTTAGGTATTCCTCTCTACAGGCTTTTATGTTAACTGAGAAGAGAGGTCTCTGAAGAAAGGAAGGATTCAAAATGAAGTTGCAGAAAAAACAAAATACCTGGGGAAAAACAGTAACTATTTATCTAAAATGATACAGTATTAGGATTTCTGATATTTATTTGGCATAGAAAATAATCATGATTCTCTAACCCAAAGCAATCCAGCATACTAAAGGTTTTTCAAAACTGTAATTTACTTATAAATCTGAAGCTCACATTCACTTTTTAATCCAGAAAAAGTAGACACTGAGTTGGAAAAAATGCACTCCACAGTCTATAGGGGACTTATTTTTTTACTTGAAAAAATACAAGGGAGTAAAATAGAATTAAATTCCTATGAGAATGGATATTAAAAGTAACAGAACCATACAGTTCACGAAAAACTATTTCTACAGTAACACTAACAAACAAATAACTTCCTTTTGAAATTAAATATCCCTCAAAAATGCATTATTTTTGTTCAGAGAAAGCCTGTAATTTTAGGCATTGCCTTTTACTCACCATTACTTTTCCCAGGCTGCAAGCTCAGCTGTCTTCCAATCGGGGAAATGTTATCTATATCTATGGCTGGAAAACATAGAACTTAAATTTAAACATGAACTGCACATAGTTCTGAAATGTAGCAACATTAAGTCAAAATACATAATACAACCAAACAAAATGTTTGCATCAATGTTTGGAAGAGATTAGAAAGGAATACTGAGAAAAATTACCATTATAGCCATCAAGAGAATTTCAGCATCGTTCTATTCAAAAAAAGCTTAGTGAGGTAGCATCAACATTGCCCAAAACTTTGTCTCCTCCTGTGTCTACATGATACAGATTTAAAACAAATTAGCTTATGCTTAGCCAAACAGGCTGTGTTCAAGTAAAGCACATTTCCAGAAAATCATTCAGTCTGGACTGGAGAAAAGTGAAGATAAACTTCAACTTTTTTTATGCAGCTGAAGAACACATTGGGCTATTTTCTTTTTCCATTCACTTTAGCAGATTTCAGATTATGCCTTATGTTCTCTGCCCTTAAAGTGACCACATTACAACTGACAATTAAAGAACTATCACCAAGCTGCATTTCCTTGATAAAGAATTTAACAGCTTAACCTTTTCCAAATCTTCTAAGAGTCTCCACTCACTTAAGACTTTCATATCAAACAACAGGGCATGCAAACAGTACTTTATAGCTCACATTTTTCCATCTTGTAATCAATTTGTTTTGTATTCTGCTGGTTATACATAAACTTCAATAAAAGCATAACGAACAAAACCTAACAGGGGCATAAATGAAAAAATTTTAGAAAACTCACCACCACTAGTGGCAGTGAGCTAGCAGGATGACAACAGGAATTTATGCTGCTAATAAAAGAATACAGAATTCTATTTCAAATATGCTTTATGGTGAGGAAAGCAGGTGGAATAAGAGGACATGCAAGTATCTGAAGAAAAAAGTGAAGTAGAAGACTTGGCTATTACTGGTATCAACACAGTTGATAGTCACAGATACAAAGTTATGTGTGTAAATTAAAATGCTTGCAGACAGATTATTAATGGAGAGAAAAATAAGAACAAAGACCAAGAATATCAAAAAGGAAAATCATACAATACTTTCAATTAATAAATAATTTTTAAACAAAGAAAGCACTTGGCAACAACAGCTGAAAATCAATCAGTTGCACCATATTTTGTCCTTGGTTCTTAACATTTAAATTGAGGTTGAAAAAAAAAAATATGCTTGATAAATTTTCCAAAAGCTATATTATATTGGGTGGACACAAAAAAGCAACTTAGCAACTTACATTTAGTTGAATTAAACTGAGAAACTTGTTTGCCTTCATGTTCAGTCCAAGGAGAAGGAACGATGAGTTTTTTTGTGAAAAACTGGAGTAGAATAAAAACAAACCATCTCAGCACTTTTTAAAATTTTCAACTTTAAATTTAGACTAGTACCCTGAACAAGAAAAGAAAATGTAGAACATTCCATTATTGTAGGCCCAAAGAGGTTAAAGAAAAAACAATTTGATTTGAAGACCCCTCTGCTCTTTATGACCCATAGCACCTCAGATCTTTCAAGTTTGCAGAGTGAAAACTACACACAAGTTTCACTTAACAGTAATTACTCCTTTTAAAAATTGAATTGTCACTACCATGCTTCTAGTATAGGAGTTTAAAAATAATTAGTTTTAAATTTTCAGTTTGTTATGTTTTATTTTGACAATTGAGCATTTCACAGAAGTGACAGACACTGCAGTAACAGTAAAAGCAATAAACCAAGGCTTTTTGGCAACATTATTAGTGTCAGTGTATTTGGCTAAACTGGTTAGTGGTAAAACACTTTTGAGTACTGGTCTTTTTCTGTGAACCAGAAACTGTCAACCATCACAGCTGCACTGAGAAATACCCTGATGCTGAGGAGACAAACATTATTACAAAGCTTCAAGAAACACACGGCAAATCTGGTTCTCAAAAAAATGCAAAGTAAATGAAAAAAGTAAATGAAAAAAGTAAATGAAAAAAGTAAATGAAAAAAGTAAATGAAAAAAGTAAATGAAAAAAGTAAATGAAAAAAACTTGGCTTGAAACATGCAGCTATTAAAGGTATAACTTTTATCAGAGACAGGGTTTCAAGCTGTTCAGCTGTATAATCCATTAGGTTATAACTCACAAAGAGGAAACACCCCTTTTAATGAACATTTAGAACACAGCATCTTAGCTGCAGGTCAACTACACAGCTCTTTTATGGAAATATAAAACATTTTTTGTTTGTAGAGACAGAAACTGATAGACCTGCCTATCAGAGACTTATTTTTTAATTGAAAACAACATTGGAGATTTCTGTAGAGAATATTTTTAACATTTCATTTTTCCTTCTCTGCTAGCCAAATGAATAGTGAAAAACAAAATGAAAACTGGATGGGAAAATACAAGTTACCAGATAAAGTCTTCCATCCAACAAAGCAGACTTTGGAAGAATGAAAAAAAAAAAAAAAACCCACACAAATTCTCCAATATTTCAAAAAATGCAGTATCACTCCAACTGTTACCATAAACCCCCAAATTCTCAATTGTTGTTTCTAACCTGAAGTTAGTAAGAGTTATATTACAGCCACATTACCACTAGCCAAGAAAAACAAAAGAAAAAATCTCTTGTTTTGACCTACATGTGTTCTGAAAGAAGAGGGGAAGAAAAGGAGTGTGTGGATTCCCAGCATCCCCAGCTACAACTGCAAGGGATGAGGGTGCAAAATTACTTTCTTACTGAAATATAGTAGGATTCTGGGTTTTGAAATCCTGTAAAAGACATGAATCTTTTCTGTAGACAAATCAGTATTTGATAGCATGAAGTTTTATTACCTCCTCAATAGCTTTTTGCCTTCTGTCTTCTGTCTCCTTATCAATTCTAAGTAACAAATGAAAAACAACTCAATTATCAAAACCATCACATAAGGAAAATATGTAAAGTCCAGACATATAATAAATTTATAGATTTAAGAGTAACTTAATAAATTAAATTGCACTAAACCCTCAATCTTATGATTTTTTTATTCTTACATGCAATGATCTCATACATAAATTTAGAAATACAAACGTACTTCTCAATTCAGTTGATTTGAAAAATATTTGTACCATTTAAAAGTACATAACAGCAAATAGTCTGTTTACTCAGCCAGTCTGGACCACCAAAACTCAATCATAACTTTGATCTTTCAAAATAATTTCATATGAATGTATTTTACTATTAAAATTCACATGAGATTAGACTTGCATGATAAAACCAAGCAGACTAAAAAACAGAGCTGTAAGGAATTAAAGGGCAACTGGAAACACTCCAGGAATTTGCACACTCAAATTCCTGACACAGCCCACTTTCCTAGCACAGAGTTCTCTCTAGTCAAATACCCAGTCTGCCACAGCTTCTTCAGTTTCAGTTTCTAACAATGACTATGTTTCCTTGGGCAGCTTTTAACTTAGTTTGTAAAAAAATATTGTAGTTACTTCATGATGTGTGAGATTCTATATTTCTATTTCCTCAAACGGTCACCTTCAAGCCTGACTCTCAGTTACTACAGTGTAATTTACTGTAAAATTTTTTGAAGCTTATAAACATTCATCATTTTCTTAGCTGAACCACCTAATATTTTCATTCACAGTTCATATACCTGAATTACCCTTGAATAATTTTAGAAATCAGTCAGATAACAAGATATTATTAGATACACAAGCACATATAAATGTGACAAATACATAAACTCTCCCAGCTCTCTTTTTTATGCCTATCAGACTTCAAATATATCTGCAATGTTTGGACATGCCGCCTTCAGTAACATCTGCCTAGATGATGCTAAAGTGACAGATCTATGAAGGCTCTTGCAGATTATTATACCAAAAAACAAGCATGCAATCCCTGTGGATTCATGCATATGCATGCACTGGACACAGCAAATCTACACATACACAAACTAGCCTCTTTCTAGTCACAGCAGATTGTTAAAAAAAAAATGAACCACAGTGATTATGAAACATTGGGACAGGCTGAAAGGACCCACTGAGACAATGCAAGTTTAGATCTATAGGCCATGTCACTCATCATCACTGGAACTGTCACCCAAGTCATCTCCATTAAAGCTAGCTTGTCTGAGTAAGGTCCCAGAAACAATCTAATTAACTCCCTAAAAACATTAGGCTTAAGGCCTTAAAACATATAAAAAGCATTAGTCTGAAACCTACTGGCTGCTAGAGGAAGGACAGGAAACATTAAGACCTGGTGATTCAGATACAGCTGGGGACAGCAATAGTCCTACAGGTCTTATTATTCAAAAAGAGAGCTGTAGGTTCAGTCAGACACTAAAACCAGTAAGTTTTTATGATGAAGGTGTTGAAACACTGGAACAGGTTGCTTGGAGAGGTGGTAGAAGACCCATCCCTGGAAACATTCAAGATCGAGGTGGATGTGACTGAGCAACCTGGTCTAGACAGGACAGGTTCATTACTCTATTCCTGCATTGCTTCATGCCTTCAGGAGCAGTTCTTTCTGCAAGTTTGTATCTGAGAAATGTTCAGGAGAGTCTACAGGGTTCACCATTAAGGTTTTCCCTGGCTACTTTCACCTGGCACTCTCTACCAGTTGCATGTAAAATTATTCCTCAAGATAAGTTCCAAATACCAAGACTTTTTTACCCACCCATTCTCCTCATGCAAGTTATTTTCAGAGAAGGGAAAAAAAGTTGAGGTAAGGTTCCCAAACTACTTCAAGTAACTAGCACTGGAGCCCCCTCCTTCACATTAATCTGGACCTTTGAAAGAGACTGCTGGGGCTTCCCCAGCTAGTTTCCCCAGCACATCTGCCCTTCTGCAGGAGCCCCAGGGGCCAAAGAAGCCTCACTGTGGAGCACTCTGAGAAGATAAACTGTGTTGTAACAAGGAGCATTAGATGGAGCCTGGTAATGATCACTGGCAAGACATTTTCTTGCTTCCACTAGCTGCTTTTATCTGGCTGTCTTCCAAACTGCAATCAGAGTGAATCAGCAGCCCTTAACACTAAAAGGAAGCAACACAGAGGTAGCTTCATCTAAAAATTATATCCATATAACATAAAAAATTGTCCTAAAAGATTTTAATAAAAAGTCTTTAATGCTATGCTGAAATGTTAATAAAGCATAAGAACAAGTGTACTAGTATTAAAGCTAAGTTAGCTGCATAAAAATAAATTGTAAGTTACCTAGCACGGCTCAAATACATTCCTTGACGTCGAATGTCTTCCGAGTCTATTTCCACAGGATTTATTAGAGCAAGCTGATCAATAGACCATCTGAATTTTCCTGGTGTCTACAGAAAGAAACAGGCATCTTAATGCTTGCTATTCTAAAGAGATAAAAATAAAACCACAGGACAAATCTCAATGGAACAATCCAATCACAGCTTCCATATAGTTTCTGTCAAAAGCAATCAAAAGTGTTCCTATTTAAATGATCTACTCTAAAATAAAGTAAGTCAGTCAGGCTTCTTATCCTGCTGGTAGCAATATTGAAGTGGAAGATTACAGCTGGTACTCACAAACCAAGGTGTCAGTTTCTTCTCAATTCCTACAGACAGGTCTACTAAAGATACATAACTTGGGATGAACTTAAATTGCTTCTTCAGTCCAAACTGCGGTTCCACAGAAACTCAGTATCCTAACCCAAGTTATCCAAATAATAGAGCAGTCTTCCTTTCACTTCCCATTTCTAAGACCAGAGCTGCAAATGCCTGCACATCCTGCAACACTTCTCTCATAAATGCCATACACAGGGCACAACAAAATCCAATTCAGAAATAAGAAGCTTCATGCCTTTATTTAACAAAGTACTGTTCAAATATATTTGGAGAATTATCTACCAAGTGAGTCTTTTTAGTTTCATTAGTAGATTCACCTCTACTGCTTCTCAGAAAATAATTTCAACTGCAAACTAGTATGTAATTTGCAATGAAAAAACCAGTCACAGATACACAAAATCATTGACTTGAGTACACAAACAGCTCACAACATCAGTGCAATTTGCATAAGTTTTTTTTTGCAACCAGCCTACTCAGCATCTAAGTAGAAACTGGTTTTCTGCACTGTAAGTAGGACCAAAGTACCACATCTAACAACTAGTCTTTATCTACTTTCTACTGGTTTTAGCACTCAATCACTAATACCTAAAGACAAAATAAATTTAGGCAGGGTGGAAGACTAAGTGGCAATATCAGTATTTAAAAGCAGAACAGTTCTGTGAAGAGAAGGAACTCCAAATGCCACCAAAGTTCTTTAGCTTGGTACATATGCTGAAGTCCACTAAACAAAATACTCCTTTTAATGCATTTGAAAATATTAGCACTACATCTGCATAGTTACACAACTAACGACTAGATCTTACAGATGAGGATTTCGTTGACTTAAAGATTGAAGGACTGGAAACAATCTGCTCCTGAAGAGTGTAATAATCGCTGGGACTTTCAAAAGGGTTCAGGATTGCGACTCGTCCTGGAGTTTCTGGCGTTATCTGCATTTTAGCTTCTTCTGTATCACCCATAACACTAAGCTATAACTGAAAAACAGGGAGAGCAAAATTAGGAATAACTAATCGAAATCACATTTTTTGACATTTTAGGGCCACCCTGAAGGCTTTGGGCAGAGAGAATTAATCATTTTAAGGCACCAGCAACATTTCAAAAACGAAGCTAGCTATGGGTTGGACCTAATGGCATAAAGTTGACAAATAAGGCTGGTACGAACGACTGCAAGCAAACAGAAACTACGAAAACGAGTTAAGAAAGAACATGAAAGGAGGGGTTAAGAAAAGCCAAGCAAACAGCGCAACAAGGGCAGAACAACAAGCACACAAGGCAAAAACCCAAAGACAAACAAACAAAAACACCCCAGCTAACACCAGAAGTGGCCGAGCAGCCCCAGCGGCCGGGGCAGCAATAACGGCCCGGGCGGGTCCCGGGCGCTAAAACCGCCCGCCCTCCGCCTCAACGGGCCGGGGCAGCCCCGGGCCTTGCGGGGCTCCGGCAGGAGGCGCCTCCCGGGCCCGGCCGCGACGGGAACGGGACCCCCGGGGCAGGCAGCCCCGCTGAGCCCCTCCTCACGCTTCTCCCCGGGACGGTGCCAACGCGCCGAGCCTCTCACCGCTCTCCCAAGCCCCGCCGCCGAGGAGGCGATGCCGGGTGAGCCGGGAGTGCCGGGAGTGCCGAGGATGCGGGCACAGCCACCTGCGCCGTTATCCGGCCGCCGCCGCGCCGCTCCCGCCCCGCCGCGCCGGGCGGCCCTTTAACCAGCCCCGCCTTCTTTTTCGGGCTCTGGCCAATCACGGAGCGCGGTGTGCACGGTCGGGCCAATGGCAGGGCTGCCCCTGTCTCGAACGGGCCAATCGGCAGAGCCGCCGCCGCACGAATTCAAAGAAAGCCCGCCCCGCCCGCGCTCGCGCTGCGCCGGGCCGTCACGTGGGGCTGGCGGGCCCGGGCGTGCGCGCGGCGTTCCGGTTCCGGGCGCGGCGGGGTCGCCATGGCGAGCAACGCCGCCAGCCTGAACGCCGTGAGGGAGACCATGGACGGTGCGGGACAGCCACGGGCGGGACGCGAGGGAGGGGCAGCGCCTGGCCCCGCGTGGGCCGCGCGCACGGGCGCCTCTCTTGGGGGAAGGGGCGCGGGCTGCGGCTGCCCCGAGATGCAGCGTGTGGCAGGTTGTGTTTTACTTCGTGAAACAGCTCAAGCCCCGCCGAGCGAATGTCTTTGGACCTGACGTGGCTTTTCCTTTTCATGGTTTTGTTTCTTTTTTAAATTTAGCTAGGTATCTAGCGTAGAATACTAGGGTTTTTTTAGCGTCTGTATATATTTATATATGTGTGTGTATATACATATATATTTGCTGTTGTTTCTCGCTGTGTGTAACGGTTGATGTAAATGACCTGAGAGAGAGAGAGGAGGGAGCGGCCCTGGGCCGGTGTCGGCGGCAGCAAAAAAAAAAGCCCTCAAAACAGGCCAAACTACAATATTGTGTGAAAACTTTGAGGACAGCAGTCAGTGGTGTAGAACTAAAATGGGTTCTGATATGGAAAAAAAAATAAAAACAAACCTCGACCTCAGGTACTGTTGTGGGATGGGGAATGTGAGAGAAGGGTACTGGGAACTGCGTTGGAGATAGATCAGCCGTGAGAAATGTGAGCGGGGGGTGAAGCTGGGGTGCTCACTTTCAGCCTGACTGTGAGGAATCAAAACTGGCATGTTTTGGAGTTGTTTCTCAGTGTAGTGTGAGACTCTGGAATTCCACAAAATGCCTGTACTAAAAGCTTATATGCAGGGTGGAAAGCAGCCCGGCAGTCTGTTGAGGGTTGTTAAATGTGGAGCCTTTCTCTGAAAATGCCCTAATGAGGGAGTAGAGGCTAGGGAGAATGTTCAAGAGATAGTGCTGTGAATTTATTTTCTCAGCATCTTCCCTTCTCTTGAAGTTACAGCTGCTGTTGCAAAAGGATTTTTTAGTACAGACCTTCATGAGTTGAGCTGGTGTAAAAATTAGCATTTCAGCCACTGATCTTCATGCTCTGACTTGCTGCTGGAGGCAAGGCAGGACTAGCAGGATCACTATGATGCTGCAATTGGGTAAAACCATTTTGTGCAGATAGAGCATGACTTCTTTGGGAAGGACAAAGAATCTCAGTTCTGGTAACTGTACTTGACAACTTCACTCTTTCCACTTCTGCAGGAATGATTTAGACAGGAGGGACAACAGGCAGGTTTAAAGACAAAGTAAGGCTTTTGAGAATAGATATGGAAAGTGCACTAATCTTCAGATTTAGGAGCCCACATTTCCTGTGTAACTATGTATATCTTTTATTTAGGATGGATACAGATATTTAGCAGTTGCTGTCTGCAAAGTTCTTAAGAGATCAGGATTGTTGTGGAGAAACTGCTCCATCTCTCTGCCAAAGACACTGCCTCAACACCTAAAGATTAGAAAGGACTTCATCAGTGCCTGGAGTCCAAAAGCACAGTGTGTTCTTATAGCCTGCCTTTTACCTAATTGACAGGCATGTTAATTATTGAATTTTTCAGGGTTTTTTTTTAATTTTTCAAAACCCGTTGTCCAGTATTAAATTTCCTGAACCAGGGAAGCATGATGTTTATGTTAGAAGCTGTAGCTTTTAGCTTAAGAAGGTTGAACATAAATATTGTTGCAAACAGCAACGGACATCTGCCATGTTCACACTGTAGAAGTGCTGTAGAATCTAAATGTTGATGAAGAACAGTCTTGATCATTGAAATTTCATAGTCTGTAGGAACTAAAGTGCTTTCATTTTGTTTCTGTTGCAGTTCTGTTTGAGATTTCAAGAATATTAAACACTGGCTTGGACATGGAGACGTTGTCTATTTGCGTGCGGCTTTGTGAACAAGGGATAAATCCAGAAGCCCTGTCGTCTGTTATTAAAGAGCTGCGCAAGGCTACAGAAGCTCTGAAGGTAATGCTCTACTTTAAAAAGCTTACACATTTGTTTTTAAGAGTCAGATGCACATGTAACTTGCTACACTTCAGTTTGTAAATTGTACTTTGATATGGCTCATTTTTAAATCAAGGAAAATAGCTGTTCAATAGAGGAGGCAATGAATACAACTGGACTTGAAACAAGAAATGTTACAAATAACCTGTTTTGTAGAAATAAAATAATTAAACTAACACTTCTGAAGAAAAAGACTACAACCAAAACTCACAAATTTTTATTATAGTCACCATTTGTCCCCTTACCTGCACAATATCACAAATAGATTTCTCCTTTAACGAGTATCACCTCGTTAGTAAAACGTCAGATTTAGGAGTTTGCAGCAGTACTTGTAAACAGGTACATGCAGCTTGTTAACATCATCTTAATATATTGTTTTTACCTCCTTAGCCTGTGTTTTGAGCCTTTCCAAAGACCAGAAAGTGGGAATTTCATGATGTGTTTATATACAGGGCTTTTCATATATGTGTATTTACCTGCTTAACTAGTAGATGGTTAAAAAAACCTCACTTGCATTTTAAAGGATTTTTATTCTTTGCTGTCTACCTAAACATCACAGACAGGATTTTTTACTACTGCATCTTATATTTGGCTATTTCTGACAGGTGAAAGGGGAAACCTATATCTTGCTTCTGTTCTGGAAGATTGCAGACTTTATTTTTAACTTAACATTTTTCTATGCTCACGCGTATTTTGTATTTGTGTCTATGCTTAAATGTGTCTTACATATGCATTTAACTGTGTATGCAAATAATTGAGGGCTGTTTTACTTCTTCCATTGCTTTCACTGGTTTCCCATTCCTGTTGCTCTCCTTTGCCTGTTTGTCCCATAACTGGTATAAAATCTACCAGTCATTCTTCAATAACTGTGCTTTGTTGACTGTAGTTATTCAGTGATAAAAATACTAATATTGTTAATCAAATAATTGGTAGTGTGATTTATGCAGTCATGATTAGTGTCGTTCTTCTGAGTTTTGTGTCAATAACTAATCTATATGGGTGAGGTAATAATTACCATAAATTATATGAAGTAAACTCCAGAGGTAACTGTAGTTGTGCATTTGAGCCATTCTTGGAAGTATTAGGGTGAAATGTACAAGATAAAAGCTGCTCAGATACAGGATGTAAGACAAGCAAACAACAGTGGCTCTTCTAGTAAGGGGTGATGGCAGCTGAGAACATTATTTGTTAGGAAAAAGTAGCGTTCATTAGAAAAAAAATTCCTAAGCAGCTTTTTTTTTTTTTTTTAGACCCCCTAAGTTCTCTAGGTAATTGAAAAAAGTTACAAGGAAATATTAAATTTAATCTACATGATGTATCTTTTGGTGACTTGAGATAATTGTTTTTCTGCTTCTAGGCTGCTGAAAATATGACAGGCTGACATGGGAGAAAATCTCTGCATGAGAAGAATGCCAAGTTAAGAGAAGAATGCCAAGTTAAGCTTACCAGGAGCTCTGAAGATTGCCAGTATTAAGAAAAAAAAATTGAATAAGTGTATGTGAAGGTTTCAGAACATTTCTGTAATACTTTTCACAAGAATGGTGTATATAATAGCTTTGAAAAGTTTTTAAAAAGTACACCAGTAATATTATTGGTATTTTTGTGAACTGTTTGTGAATGTAGTGCAATTGCTTTCTTTGGCATCCTGTACATTTAAAATCACGCCCGATATTGTACATTTGTTGAATTTACTAGTGTGTACCAACAAGCCTTGTTAGAATGAGTACAGTTTTGTTAATGCATCCTTTGGAAGTGGTAGTATATCATGGGTTTTATCTTTTGCTTTGATGAAAAGCTACATGTGCAATTTTAGTCTTGCTTTATGGTCCAGATAGGAATGAAACCCATAGTGACTTTATTTTAGAGCAAGGGCAGTAACTTAAGTCTCAAACTGAAAATAATAAATAAAGCATTTTTTAAATAATGTAGGTAATGAATTGTGCTTTTGATTTCAATTCAAATTGCTGGGAAAAGTGTTTAACTTAGATAACAGATGTTCTTCAGCTATCCATATAGGTATGTATGTAAATTTAAATTCTAGATGGCATGGAATGTTTCACAGAGGGCAGATGCTACATTTGTTACACCTGTTCTGACTGTAGGATCTAAAAATATTAAGGCTGTATTGTTACTGCAGTACAATAGTGCATACATGAGAAGCATCTGGTTTGGTTGATGAATATCAGTAAGTCTTAAATAGCTGCTTGGTACAGGAATGTCTTCTCATTTAGCACTGGAAACCTTCACTGATGCCAAAACAACTTTTAATGTCCAGTAAGTATCTCTGCACCCAGGAATTCTACTTTGTAAGAAGATGGTTTCTTGTGTGTTGTTCATCTGCTGCTGTGTTTTTGTGGTTTTTTTAAAGGCATTTGATTTTTTTTTATGCTGTTTTCAAAGTGTAGCACTAATGGGATCTAAAGCAACCTGCAGGGTTAACAGGGCAAAGCACATTTGGAAATGAACCTGGAATCTTAGTTGAGCCAAAAGTTATATTTGTGCAGAGATAAAAAGTTCTTTTTACTTGAAGAGCTTACATCATACACACTCTGGATCATAGTGCTGCAAAAAGCAATCAAGAAAGCTAAATACTTCATATTGCTGACAAAGGGAATAGAAAAATATTTATATTGCACTGAATCACTTGCCTTTATTTCCAGTTAGCCTGGCCAAAACATCATTCTGGGAAGATGCTGTAAATAACCAAACTGGGGAATTTTTAAATGGTTTCATTTTGCACATTCATAGCAACAATTTACAAAGGGCTTTAAATGTTCATAACCTGAATATTGACTGTATGAAAAGGTATCAACAATGAAATTTATTTTAGAAATCTGAAAATTCAGTAAAATATCCTGAAAAGTCCAGGTCAGATCAGCATAAATGAGCAATTAGCTCACTTACTTAATTTGCTCTAGACTCAGTACTACATGTCAAAAATGAGACAAGACTTGGGGAGCATTCTCGCTGGTCTCAGGAGTCACATCTCTGTGAGATTTGTCTGTGAGATTTCCCTTGTGCAACTTAAACTCTGAAAATTTTCTGTAAACTATTGCAAATGTACCCAAAATAATAATGAAACTTTATTAGAATATATGCTTCTGCTGCATTTCCTTTTCTCTACAGCCAAATCTTTGGGTAATACAGGAAGTCTGATGACTTCCCTTGAATGTCATTCTATTGATTCGTTTTATGTATTTCCAGGGTTTTTTCTAACTTGATTTTGGTTTGGGTTCAATGTCCTTGAAATACTTAAAACCAGCTTACAACTGCAATGACAATTTATACATAATTTATAAAATTATACATAATTCTTGAACTGTCCAGTAAATTGCATCTACCATTTACCATTGGTAAGCTTACACCTTTTATGCATTTGGACATGTTGTGGTAGACCATTTGTCTTGCAGAATTCCAGAAGAAGGGCATGTCTTTGACATTCAAGCCCCCAATTTGATGTCTGTAAAACTAAAAGTGCATTATTTTCATTATTACATGGAACTAAATGGTAACATTGGTTACTTAATGCACTAAAGGGTACTAATTTAGTACTTCAAGTACTTAATGTAACTTCTTGTTTCTTAATGTGGTGTAAGAGAACTCCTGACTGCTTTTTGTTTGGGACACCATCCACAACAAATACAAAAAGTATTTTTTTTCTTCCCGGTGAGAAATAAAAAAGAAAATCTCTCTAGTAGGAAGCTTCATACTGGAAATATTGGGTGTGCAAGGTAAGTCTATCACTTTAATAGCATCCCCATTATATGAACATGAGTGCTGAGGCTTGGCAGTGATGGCTGAGAAGTCTTGGCTGCATTTGTAACACACATCACCTTCCACTACATTTAACCAAGAAGCTGAGCAAACAGCACGTGCTTTTCCTCTGTGCTCCTTCCTTACATGCTCTTGGAACTCTGAAGAAGATAAACATAGGAATATCTATACAGGCCCTGACAAAAGTTGTTTTTTCTAACACAATAGCTTCTTTTGTAGTCAAAGGCAGCTGCCTCAGGAAGGATAAGAACAATGCAAATGTGTTTGGTTGCTTTTCTTCTGTGTTCTCCTGGATTCTAAATGTCTTCTATTCCAGGCTTTCCTGAACATCATATGGTTTGTCTATTTAGTAATTTTCAATGCTATTTTTTCCAGTAGTTGTCTGGTTTCCTTTGGACTATATATGCTTCCTGAATAACAGCTGCCTCTATCAATTCATGTCTGTTGCATAAAGAATTGCCACTTGTTCATTTTGAGCCTGAGAGTCACTAGTTTGATGTCCTTTGCACTGTAAACTTTTATCTGTCATGCCGTGTTTCTGCAGATATGTAAGACACCTTTAAATTTCGTCTTCTAAGCTGAAATGCTTTAGCATTTGAGTGACCAAAAGCATGGAATAGCTTCTGTATTTACTGTTCTTTGAAACTTTTCTGGGTGTCACATATTATTTTCTGAGAAGGGAACCAAAACTGCACACAACTTTAGCCATGCACCTAAGTACTAGTCTGTTTGATTACTTTCTTGTTTATTCCTTTTCTAGTACTTCCTAATATTTGACTTGCTTTTTTAAGTTGATCTGAATGTTGAGCTGTTTTCATTGCATCATCTATGGTAACTGCAGGATCTCGCTCTTTAGTAGACTGATAAGCTTAGATATTATTTTTTCATATGTGGAAACTATGATTATTTATATCCATGTGTATAATTTATTTGTTTGTGCTGAATTGCATTTGCCACTTTTTTCTAATCAATCTTCCATGTGTTGCTCCAGTTTATCACAGTTTGCTACCATCACTAATTTTATCATTGGGAAATTTTGTTGCTTTATTCCTTTTCTGAGCGTAATTATAAGCAAGTCAAGCAGCACACAATGTATTAAAGACTGCAAAGGACAACTGGTGACCTGGGGCAGGAGCTGACCATTTATTTTCATTCCTTTTCAGTGATTGTGAATGAAATGCATCATTCTTACGCCACATGTCTTCAGTGTCACATTCAGCAGCTCTCACTGTGAGAGTTAAAGCACAGTTGTGAATGTAGCCCTGCAGAGAGCATGGCATGCTTGATAATAATCAGGAACCCCAGTGTTCTTTCCCACCTGCTGCTCTCTAGGTGAGCAAGTAACTGGTTCAATCCTAAATTTGCTTTTTGATTCTATGAACTGGTTCCTCCTGAGTTTAACTTGTGCCCTGTTGCAGGCACACTTTATTCCAGGGACTGCTCCCAGCAGGCTGCTTACCAGAGCCTTCTCTTTTTCCCCAGCACTTTCCACTTCAAACATCCCATCTGCTTTTGCATGCTCATAGTCCATGCCACAGAAACACTGCAGTCCTGATTATTTTAATATACTGTACATTAAAAGGCACGAAAAATGACAATGACCTAAGAGTCAGCAGTGATCCATGATACAGTATGGCTGTAGACATCGTGCTTCAAGGAGATCTAATGCTGAACAGAGGAGCTTTACATTATTGTGTATGATGGCGCTTTGGCAGCTTTACTTTGAAGATTCAACTCTGAGATATAAATATTACTGTTTAATTAAAGTTTGAAAACAAGAGTTTCAAAAAAGGAAGGGCATGTCAAAGTAATTTCAACTTTTAAAAGGAGTGAGGGCAAGGACAGAGAGTTGCAGACCAGTCATCTCACATAGCAGAAACATCCAAACTGGTAAATTTGAGATTTACCAAACAGGTAAATTTGGGAGTGAAGAATGACAGATAAAGTTAAGTAACAAGATACAGAATGAGAGGAAATGGCCATTACAGAATGGCTTTTTACAGAAAATAGCTTCATCAAGTAGAAATAGTGAAGTAAAACCATAGTGCTGTCTATTTACTCTTCCAGACCCATTGTTTATACTTCAAGAAAGCATGAGGATAATATAAATGAAGATAAAAACTCTTTAGGGATGGGAAAACAAGCCTGAAGAGTTCTCAAAGCACTCAGGGGGTGTGCAAGTTCTCAAAGAGAAATTGAGAAGAGACATAATAACCCTAGTTATGCCCTTGAACATAAAGGAAGTCTTGTGGGTGCATCTTTTTAACCTTACAGGGAAAAACCAGATTCAGTAGGTGTTATTGGAGAAATCAAACCTTAAAAGTAAGGCACAGCTTCCTAGGAGTGAAAGTAAGTAAGCTTTGACATGGCATATCAGGGAAATAACTGGGTACTGCTTGATGTTGTTAAAATGAAATTAAAAATAATTCCAAAGGACGTGCTTTAATCCAGTTTCTGGGGTGAAGTCTACAGTACCTCTCTGCAGGGTGTCAGAAAAGCTGGCTGTAGCAGTTCCTTTTGACTGCACAGTCTGTGAAGGGCAGTGTAAAACAGCTCTAATGTGAAGAAAATTAGGAATATTTAGGATGACTATCAGTGATGTTTCTGTCAGTAAGATAAATGGAAGCCTGGTTTCCAAGATATTTAA